ATTATACGCTACATTATATTTGGACAAAAATTCATCATAAGCTGCATTAGGATTGTCGTGTCCATCAATAGTTGCCCAATTTGTATCGGCTAAACGTTCTTTAAACTTAGATATGTTATTTGCATTTTTGTCACGGATCGTAATTGTCCGGCGTATTTTAGTATTTAGTAAATTTTCAATTGAAATAGAAAATATGGGTAAATGATCGGATATGTCAGTAAATAATATGCCACTTTTCAAGTGGTTTTCTAATCTATTAGTAAATATATTGTCAATCAGAGTTGCTGTGTGTTCTGTAATGCGGGTCGGATTAGTAATTAACGGATAAAACATTCTAGAGTACATGGCATCCAAAAATTCACCGGTTAATTGATGACAGTGATGGTTAATTAAGTTTAAATTGAAATCCCCCATTAAATAACAAGGTTTGTTTTCTCTAGAGATTTTGGCTAATAATTCATTATAATTCTTTAGAAATACATCAATGTTATGGTCTGGTGCTCGATATACAACACCCACAATGGTATTCGCTCTAGGTTTTATAATCTCAATAAACGTTGTTTCAGCAGTTGTGTCATCATCAAATGTTAAATCAGGACGTAATTTAAATTGGAAATTATTAGATATGTACAAGCCTGTACCACCTCCGCGTCTGTTATTACGATGATTATGAATAAATGTATACCCGTCAATGTCCACTAAATGCGACGATTCTTTTAGCCAAGTCTCAGTGATACCAATGATTGAAAACTGCATATCAATATTATTAAGAAAGTCAGTTAAATGAGATAAATTTTGGATCAAGCTACGAATATTTAAGTGAAAAATTGAAAAGATAGAGATATGTTGGGTTTCCTTTGTTATCATACTATTGAATTCATCTTCAACATAATAACGACTGTGACCTATATCTGGCAAATAAGAATTTGCATCAGGATCCAACTCAGAAGACAAAGCAAGGTTTTGATTGATAGTGCATGCGAACGGGTTATAGCTCAACGAAGTTAATTTATCAAAATCATAATTAATTAAGCCATAATCAAGTTCATAAATATAAGTCTGAAAACTGTTCTCATCAAGGCTAGCAAATGGTAGTTCATTTAAAGAATTAGAAGTCATTATTTCTAAGCTAATTCAACTAACACAACAACGATATACATACACTAGATTATCCATCAGAGTGCTGTTGAAACGCCAATGGTCCAATAGCTCTGTCAACGCGCGGAAAATTAAATGTTATATATCAAAATCTAAGTTAATCCTTTGTGAATAAAATGCTTTTTATTTTAGTGAAATATCTTTTATAGGTTTTACGTTACATGAAATTAAACAGGGTATAGTTTTTTTGGGACACCCGGTATATTGTTGATATTTTTAAAATTATTTCGTTAAATATTATAACGCAGAGATTATAACGTATAAATATTTCGCATAGTATTCAAAATATATAGACCATTCAGAATTTGGGCCGCCTGTGGACTGATAACTAAATAAATATAACCGCTGTCCAAACATACTGGCTCACTACCACATAATGATGCAAATGACGAATGCACCGCGTATAATGCTCGAACCACCGCATATAATGCTCGAACCACCGCGTATCATGGTGAAAGCACCGCATATAATGCAGAAAGCACCGCGTATAATGCTCGAACCACCGCATATAATGCTCGAACCACCGCGTATCATGGTGAAAGCACCGCATATAAGCAGAAAGCACCGCGTATAATGCTCGAACCACCGCGTATAATGGTGAAAGCACCGCATATAATGCAGAAAGCACCGCGTATAATGCTCGAACCACCGCGTATAATGCTCGAACCACCGCATATAACGATGTAAGCACCGCGTATAATGGTGAAAGCACCACGTATAATGCTAGAACCACCGCGTATAGTGCGAAAAGCACCCAACAAAATGCCGTTTGATCACTTAAGACAGCTATGGCTTTCCATACAATGTGATCATCTTCCATCTTTGGTCTTCTTTATGGCTTAAAGTGATCAAACGGCATTTTGTTGGGTGCTTTTAGCATTATACGGCGGTGCTTTCGGCATTATACACGGTGCTTTCGCCATTATACGCGATGGTTCCAGCATTATACGCGGTGCTTTCACCATTTATATACGCGGTGCTTTTGCAATTATACGCAGTGGTTCGAGCACTATATGCGGTGTTTTTGGCATTATACGCGATGCTTTCATTCAACATTATTTCCATATTCTTTCCATGACATGTATATGATTTAACGATTGCTTAAATTTGGTATGTGGTTGACAAATGCTTTTTGCCTATGGTCTGCAAGGACATAATGTATTGTATATAAATGAATACAACCGATATAACGCAGCGAATAATGGGCCAAGCAGTGTAATGCTTTGTCATTTGTATTTATGCTTGTACTGCATCACAAGGCAGTACGTAAGTGAACAAATTCCACATGTGGGATTCTCTTGTATATATTTTTGCTTTCTTTGATAAACATTATTATTAAACACGCAAATATTAATTAGTGAAACGCAATGTTAAATGTCACCTGCATGTCATCGTCATTGCCCTTTAACCCCTGGTCCAATTGGCCGCTTGTGAAAATGTTGATCATGACGAACCGCACTACGCGGATACGGATGAATGACGGACGGACTGACGGACCGGACGGATGACATATATATGTCATTATATAGTCTGCGGGCAGTCGCGCAGGGTAGTTAGTGGCTTACTTCTTCGGTGGTTGTTATACTTTAAAATAATTTTGTATATACCGAGAAATCAATATTCCGAGTATATAAATATATAAACTGGGATGTCACACTGATAGCTAGTTTACATTTCCTGGAGCATCAAATCTTATGTTTAACCACGGTGGTTTAACCCATTAGCTGGCAACCCTTCCCTTGTCCAGCGCCAGAAGATTTTACTCGTCAGTGGTATATATAGGCTACTGCCAGTAAATAGGTTAACAAACCTATCTTCCAATGTCTCTTGTTAATCCATCAGCACAGTAATGACCCCTACTTTAGTATTTACCCTGTCCAACGCCAGACGATTTTTAATACTCAGTCAGTGATAGGGTTAACATGCAAGGATAACAATAATAGGATGTTTCTGAAGGACTCGTCATTTATTCGTCAACACCCTGTAGTTTGTCTTTTGCTGTCAAAGGCAGCATTACTGCCCTGTGGGTAACCTAGTACTGGTATACATTAGCATGCAAACTTGCAGCTTTCAAGTTGAATTACAACGAGTATATACAATTTACAAAGTTGATTTAGAAATGTAACTATAAACAAGTCGCTCTGTAGAGCGTTAACTCGCTGGGGCGTTTGTTTGCGTGCTAAGGACGAAGAACCATTGTCCTTCTGTTCAGGCAACACCTGCTGTGCTTTTGTCCTTCACACGGAAAACATGCAAATTCCGGTTATAGAATAGTTTTAGGTGAACTATATTTAAACTTATCATGTTTAGCACTGCAATCGTTTTTATTGTTTACAGAAGTGCCAGTATTTGACACAGATCAGTTTTTGAGTATTTTTGAGTATTGTGCTCCAATGGCAATGCACCCTACTTTATATTTATTTTAATGCCTCATACCAGTCGATTTTGCTTGTCAAAGGAAAAGTACCGCCGCTATCAAATTCGTTAGGTTGCATTGCAGATATTTATATAGTACGCTACATTCTTTTGTCGGCCGCCAGTTGGTCCGTACGCTATAGGATTAAACTGCGCTTTTTTCAACATAAAAATACTATCAAAATGAAGAGAGAATTGAGACGAATTCACAGGCATATGGCCGAAAAAGAAAAAAACATAATTGGACATGACTGTCTTCGTCTTTTTGAACGGTTTCTGACTGTTTTTTTAGTTGTCCACATATTTCCACATCTCATCATTAGAAACATTTAAATTGTTAATCATGACTAAAAATAGCCAAAGGCCCAATTTTGTTCCTTGCGGGATTCCCCACAATGACAGCCAAATCTGACTTGTAAATAACGTTTAAGTATACCAATAGTTTACATATAGTGTGCTGGTGCATTGCCTTGGTGGTATCCCTGCCCAAACTATATATTTTATATAGAACACTAAACTCAGGTTTCCATTTGGTCTGGGCGATTGTAACCATGTTTAAGGCTGCAACTAGACTTGATGGTACGAAGTGTTGCCATAGCAGCTGCGCAGCAACAATGAGAGTAACAATCAGTAAGATTAGCAGCAAAAAAGATAGCAATGACAATTCTGCCAAGGCATACCTACGAATTGGAAATACAATGTATAGTGGTCTATACACCTATTTTATGTGAGATTAAAAATTATATAAAATAAAATGACATATACTACCAGATAAAATCCTTTAGAATGAATATGGGTGGGTGGGTGTGGAAAAGGTATCGAAGCGCTAAACTTGCTGCAGCTAGGCAAAGCATACTGACACAATGGCAGAATGAATACCCAGACCGAAGCGCTGATCACAAGGCATCAAACAACCCCCTTTGATTGATATGACGTCACAGACTCCCCTCAGCGGACATCAAGAGCTGATGTAATATAAATAATACATTGTCAAGTTAACTAGTCTGCAACCCGTAAAGACTGATTTGCATACAGCACACAAGACAAGGCAAATCCAGACTATTTCATATCAGTGAAAATTGATTTAGTTGCAACATTTACAACGAAATGGATACCAGGTTATTAATTTAAGCAAATTCCTTCAAATTTAATTGCAACCCCCCCCCATCATTTTCTTGAAAAAATTTAATAGCCCCCCCTTCTAGTCATTTATTTTTACATATGGTCCCCCTTATTTTTTCCCTCCCCCACCCCCGCTTAGGCTGCCATAAATAATGCCGGCCTTATATATTCATATTTGTTTTGTTGGGCGAAATACGAACGCATACGGGGTCCCGGTATCCCGGGGAAAAGTCCCGAAAACTCCCGGATGAAAGCGTGCTCGAGAGACAAAAATATAGTATAATATAGAGTTTTTTAGTTTTGGTTTGGAAATGAATATATTCATGTTTTCTTTATAAAGTTCGGTAAACGTCTTGGTTTATTTTGAATTATTGTTGCCTCAGTCGTTAGTTGGGATGGCCCTAAGCTGGTGGTAACAGCTTCTTTCCATGAGGGAGGTACGCGAGATTCCAAGAATGAACAGTTAATAATTAACAATTATTGAATGAGGTTGAGCACATGAAGAATTTATCAAGTCCGAGGTTTGCCGTTATCAACCGAAGCCGAAGGCTGAGGTTGATAACGGCAAACTGAGGGTTTGGTAATTCTTCATATTGTGCGAAAACCGAATCAATAATTGTTTTATTATTTATTTAAAAAATTCAAAACAAACGGTCATCTATTTGTTCACCCATGCCACGTTATAAATCAGGAAAAGAATTAGGAAACTGAGTGTTCTTATACCTATTCTAGAAGCTTTTTCTGATCTTTTTGTATTTAACAAATCTTTATCTTCCTGTAATTTTTGAATTTCGGCTTCGCCAAGGTTTGCAAACCTTTCAGTGGAAGGAGCCATTTGTATTTTATTTGTATGAAGACTAAAAAAACAATTCCGTAGTCTTTCGGCAGCTGTTGTTGTTATAATATCAATGACGTCAGTGAGTCAATATGATCAATATGATTCTCGTTGTCATAGTAATATGGCGCAAATGCATCCAAATTTTTTTCATATCGACTCTTTGACGTCATTTTGCTATTATGAATGTGAAAAATCCGTATTTGGTTAGTCATTGAGTTGATATGACAATTTCACAGTTCGCTGTTAGCCAATCAGAAACCAGGAATTTTTTAAATAAATAATAATCGACATTACTGGTCTTGCAAGAATGTCGGCATTCTCTTTTAAAAGCCAGCAGGGAATACCATCTAGCCCAGTCGCTTTGTTTTGGATTTAGTGCTAGCAACTTCTGAAAAACTGATTGCTCTGTGATGGTAAATGGGGATTCATTGTCAGTAGCAAGACGGGCATTGGGAGATAAAGGAGAAAAGTCACTCGTTGAGGTGAGGAATGTGTTATTGATAACATTTGCAATATTAGCTGGGGTCGGTTCGTCGAGTCACAATCTATATGTTGCAGAATTGAAACTGTGCTGTCTTGTGTTACTGTTGACATCCCACTAAGTTTCTTAACTTCCTTCCACCAACCCGTAGGGTGAGCTCCATACGAAATTGGCATATTATCCATTACCAGACGTTTTCTCTGTGTTTGCATGAAATCTTAAAACTGCATGTGCAACATGATCTATCAATCTACTTTGTTTATTGACTGACGGAATTGTATTCATTTCCCCCTATTTACTAGGAATGAATTGCACATCAACTTTGGAACTGTCATAACGCACCTAACTTGCAATTGGGTGTTGTTGCCACAGTACTGGAAAAAATAGTGAAACTCATACTATGGAATTTGCGATTGTATCAATAAATCCATAGTATATCCACACTATTTCCATACCATATCCATAGTAGATGAAAATTGCAGTTAGTATGAAAAGTGGATTTCCATACTATTTTCAACTAAGATCCATACTATTTACATAGTAAGTATTTTGAAAAAAGTTCCCTAGGTAATTAATTAAGTATAAGTAAAACCTGACATTTGTACAGCTCACTTTAATCACTGGAGCTAACTATTGGGTACTGGTATTGCATTACCTGATTGCATGGTGCATGGTTTATCAGACAAAAAAATTTAATCTGTCTTTTGATTGGTTATTGTTTTTTTAGATTATACTATTATTAGCAGTTTTAACTATAATAATTAGATTGTTGTTTTCATTCAGTTATGTGTTAGTCAGAATATAAACTATGTTGTGGGTGGAGAGCGACCGCCACAAAAAAGGCTAGTGAAAAGGCGGAACCTTGTTGGAGGCATTTTGGCAAAAAAAACCCAAAACTGCTATTTTGTTAAATGCCAATCTCCCCATGGACCCACAAATTTCCGCCCATGAGGAGGGAAATGACAGCCGAATCTGACTTGTAAATAACGTTTTAAGTATACCAAAAGTTTACATATAGTGTGCTGGTGCATTGCCTTGGTGGTATCCCTGCCCAAACTATATATGTGATTTTAATTTCTGTTATCAATCACATGTATCAGTATATGTTATTGATTGTATTCAATATTATTGTTCAGAGTATGCGAACAAATTTGGCAAGTGTGAGATAGAGTTTTACCTTGTGCATTCAGAAGACATTGCATAAGAGCAGAAACAGCATTTTCCTTGCGATAGTCCTAGTTTTCTATCGTATAAACAATAGTGGTTAAAGAGCTAAACTTACTTTTTAATTCAACGACTTTTCCCTCATAATTTTCTGCAACTGCTGGCACTCTTTGTTTAGGTTTCGCCAATTTCTTCTTTGGAGCTTTACATAAAAAGAAGCAAATATAATTTATTATAGGTTATTGTTTAAAAGATTAAAAAAACCCATCCAAAATCCTTTCATTTCACTTGCGAACAAATACTATAACCTATTACAATAACTAATAACTTATTACAATAACTTATTACAGTTCTTTTAACTTTTTAACTTATTAATACTTATTACAGTTCAGTCATCTCCCTTTGACGAGTAAAATTGTGTGGTGTTAGACAGAGTAAAATGCTACTGCTTGTTAATGGGTTAATCTTTACAGCCTTGACAATTCTTCATGTCATGCTCAATCTCATTTAATAATTGATAAATATTACAACGTTATTGAATGAACTAAAATTATGACTACTGATAACAGCTATCAGGAGGCACTGAACACGGCGTTGTTTGTAATATACGAATAATATATATAAATATATATGAAATTTTTCAATAACAAAATATATTGCAAAGTGTCTTAAAACACCCTAAACTAAATAAACTCAGAACCATCCTCAGAGATACGAAAAACTAGTTTCATATTAATCTGACACTGCAATCGAGCAACGAAATATTCGTTGGCTCGAGCGGGATTTGAACTCGCATCTTCAGGTATCTAGACCGCCGCTCTACCTATTGAGCTATCGAGTCAACAGGGATTGGTATTATTATATTAAGATTAATATTCGTATCTCTGAGGATGGTTCTGAAATAGAATTGAAACACTGCGCATCCTCCAAGACAAGCGTTAAGTCGTCACGGAAATATTTCGTGCACGTAAATAGTTAAATTGGATAAGACTCGCTACCAATCCCTGTTGACTCGATAGCTCAGGTAGAGCGGCGGTCTAGATACCCGCGGATGCGAAGTTCAAATCCCGCTCGAGCCAACGAATTTTTCGTCGCTAGATTGCAGTGTCAGATTAATATAAAACTAAATAAACTCCATTAGCCTTTTTCACGCCTCCATTTTTGGGTGGTAAGCTTTTTAGAACAGGGATAGTAAGCAGTGAAAATGGAACCCTTATAACTATAGTTGTAAATATAATCATCATTATAAATCGATTTACAGTTAATTAAATATTTCGAAAATTATTTTCACATCGCTTAGATTATTCACGTTGTTTACGAAATTGCCATTTAAAAATGGCAGATTTAGGCCTTCGCAAGAAAGGCTAATTGCTGTCAATTGTTTGTCAAGACGAACTATCTGTTAAACGAGGATATTACAGAACCAAGTCATAAATTTTTTTCATAATTTACCTCTTAATTGTGCAATTTCATCATCATCGCATATACTTGACATATTGCCCATTTTTCGCTTTAAATGCTCTGCGTACAAAGAAGAATGGAAAAAGAAACATTGGTTGAATTCATGCATATAATATATACACCATACACGGAGTATCGAAAAAGTGTAGATCATTTTCGAATGGCCATGCAGAAATTGAAATTGGCACACCGGTTTTCAAGACCTACAGTATGTGAATATGGGTTGTCAAGAGTCCTATGATTTAAAATATGATTTTTTCTTCTTAAAATTGAACTTCCGAGTGCAGAAGGATTGCTTTTGAAAACCATGTTAAATGTGTAACGCGATTTTAATTCATATATAGGGATGAAGTTTAAAATGACTTTAACTGAAACAACTGATGCATGTATACAGTATACGCCCCTCTAAAACGTTCTAGGCATTTGAACATGAATTGTGAAATGCATTACTTTGTAATCAGCTAACGCCATACAATTAACTGGTGAAGATGAAACAAATTTAGATTAGAAAATAATATACACTTTTAAAAATTGTGTGCACTCGGAATAACATTTATTTTATATATATGCTGAAATTATCAGCCGGGAAAAGATTTAGGATATGTACATAAGATACTTGTTATATACCTACAGTATATTCTTGTACACGAAGTTGTTATTGTTAAGTCTTGTTATATAATATGTGTATAAATGTTATGTAATATATACCTGGTGACGCGCTTGTGTCAGTGTCACTGTCAGTGCCACTGTCAGTGTCACTGTCAGTGTCAGTTTCGTCACTTTCATTTTCGCTTTCACTTTCACTTTCTGGATCGGGAATTTCTATGGCAATATATTGAAAATGACAAAAGTAAACATACATTACTGAATAACAAATATTTCGAATTATTACAGCCTGGGACAAGTCTATTTATTTATAAGTATAAACCTACTAGTAGGCTATTACATATCGTGCCTTCTGATTGGCTACGCTACTAGTAGGCTATTAGTGATAGCCTACTAATAGAAAATTCAAAATGGCGGAAAATTCGCGTTTTGCACTTTTGCCGAAGTCTCTGATGATTTTCTGGACGACTTGTAGAACACTTTTGTACTGAAAAACCCCAATAAAAACAACAAAAATATGGAATGGCAATTTTTAAGGGTAAGAGAATAGACAAAATAACATACACTCAATGAAATTTTAAAATTAAAACTGAATTTTGTCAACATTTTACGCGAACGAAAGCTAAAATATTTGTTTCCCTTTAATGGTTTTATAATGTTTTTTTTGTGTATTTTTGTATTGTGTTTGCAGCCTATTTGTAAATTAATGTTAAAGTTTATACTAAAACAATTATACAACTCGGCCTCGTTGTCTATGGCTCTATGGGCAAATAGTCAACTCGGCTTCGCCTCGTTGACTATTCGCCCTACTAATTGTTAATTAATTAGTAGGGCTTTCAAAATAACCAGCGGCTGCCGGAGTTCTGGCGGATGTTTACCGCCGATTACTTTGTTTAGTACTTGAAACATCAATTCTGCTCTCCTTCCTCCATTCTAAGCTTTCAAATAAAGTTACTCAACTTGGTCTACAATAATTTATGGCTTGGTTATTTTCGAAAACGACGTACTATTTCGTAAAACTAATTTAGTTATATTTGCCGCCTTGTAATAAATCTTGTTGAAAAATGAAAATAGTGATACATCATAATTGGTGTTGTGTTGCTATCTAATCAATGTACCTAATGGACCATGCATTCCCCAATTAACCAAAATTTTGAACTCAACAAGTCTAGACAAAATTTCATCACAGCTTGAAAGAGCATCACAAAATTAGTAATATTCCAATGTTTCGTTGCAAAATGTTGTAAAATGCGCATAATATAGCTTTGCGAAGTTTGCAATTTTCAGTCATTTTAGATTACGCAAGGAAGTGGTAACCATTTCCCGTTTGTAATCTAAAATGAATGAAAATTGCAAATTTCGCAAGGCTATATTATCCGCATCTTACAATCTTTCGCAACGAAACTTTGAAAATTACTAATTTTGTGATGCTCTTTCATGCTATGATGAAATTTTGTCTAGACTCGTTGAGATCAAAATTTTGGTTAAAGGCACAGTTCGGCCTTTTGAATGATGGTGTTAAGGCGCATTTCAGTCCTTTTAATTGAAAAAAACTAACTAGGAAAATCAATTAAGCATAATTCAAAATCAGCAAACTTAATGTTTTTAACATTTTAAAACATTGTTATTGTTAAAAACATCGAGTTTGATGATCTTGAATTATGCATGATTGGTTTTCCTATGTTGGAAACAGACTATATTAAATAGGTTATAAATGAACTGTGTTATGAACACCGTGCATATAAGGACATAATTAGTGTATGATTTACATTTAGCAAAAACAACATAATATACTTTGCGAGCGAGAGAGATATAGGTGTGAAAAACATGATACAACGTACGGAATATAATCGAATAATTTGGAGATTAAAAACACTGTGAATTGCCATGAAGGACGGCCCTTTTAGTAGAGCATTCCGACACCTAGTTAGTTTTTTTCAATTAAAAAGGCTGAAATGAGCCTTAAAACCATCATTTAAAAGGTTGAACTGTGCCTTTAATTAGGGAATGGTCCATTAATTCGGATGACTTTAAGACTAACTAGATCGTCCCCTCCCTACAGCCGCCTATTTTATCAAAACAGGCACCTACTCTGAATAATTCTGAAAGCCCTGTATTAGAGCGCAGACGTAAGTAAGTTTCCTAGTCCCGAAATCGAGGCAAATAATGAGGAATTCATCGTTCGAAGATGAATTAATTTGTAGTTGAAGGACTAAATGTGCCATAACAGCCTCGTTCTTCAAAACTACTTTTCAAATAAGATCAAATATATTAAGATAACTAAGTTAATTTGTTTTTATAAGAAATGATTCTTTGCAGAGTTTCCGGAGATTCTATGATCTCTTCACTTTGCCCGACAACTCTTACCGAGACCTTGGTATTTTCGGATATCACAAAACCCGAATTCAAAAATTGTCATTACACATTGCATTCTATTTAAACTCCTTCGAAAAACAACGATTTAAATTCTTTCGTACAAAACAACGTTTTCGAAAATAAAAAATACAGTAAAAACCATGTATCGTGGGCTCATTCTAACAGATATAAATTATTTGCCAGCAGCTAACTCCGTTATCTGTAGGTTGTGTGATTTTTAGACTACGTTTACACTAGAGCAAAAGCTTCCGGATTTGTAAAAGTATCCGGATTCCTTGTTTTTCAAGTATACGGATCCAAGAGGCGTTTACACTACACAGCCCAACATAGCGATGGTCAATATAACGTAAATAATAATTTTAACCCTTGTAGTGATATTATGCTATGTTTTGACCCTGTTTGGCGGTTGAATTTAATAGCAATACATTTGAAAAACATACACCGGAACAAATTGTTTCAGTTTCTTTACGGAAAGCCGTTTACACGAGAGTTTTCTCCGCATTCAAATTTTTCCAGATACAAAGTTTCTACTTTTTTCCCCGGATTGAAAGTTTTCGGATACGTCCTACAACCGAGATGATTTTCCACCAGATTCGTCGCTGTATGTGTAAACGCATGTATGAATCCGATGCCAAAACATTTCGGTTTTGTGATGAATCTGGAGTCTTTCGCTCTAGTGTAAACGGGGTCTTAGCTTTATGCTATTAGCCAATTAGAAGACTCGTGGTGACTACAATGTAAAATAAAAGCCGTAACCATGCGAGTGCCCCGTGTCGTTTGCCGTTATAAAAAATAAAATACCAATGGACCTTTCCCTTATAACTAAAATTTTGATCTAGACAAGTCAAGACAAAAATTTCATCACAGCTTGAAAGAGCATCGCAAAATTAGTGATATTCCGAAGTTTCGTTGCGAAACTGTTGTAACTAATGCGGACAATATAGCCTTGCGAAGTTTGCCGTTTTTCAGTCATTTTAGATTACAAACGGGAAATTGATGCCCCAACACCCGATTGGGCTGTCAAATTCCTATGCGTAATACAAAATGACGGAAAAACGGCAAATTTCGCAAGGCTATATTATCCGCATTTTACAACATTTCGCAACGAAACTTCGGAATGTTACTAATTTTGTGATGCTCTTTCAAGCTGTGATGAAATTTTTGTCTAGATCAAATTTTAGTTTAAGGGGAAAGGTCCATTGAAAGTCTTTTTCTTTTCAGGTATGATAAGTTAACTGTGTTGCACTTACCATCTATATTGATCTCCGAAAGACTTTTTCCGACCCAGTTGCATGCGTTCCCCCCGTCCACTGCCAGCAACAGTTTGCTCACTTTCGCGATTTCTATGGTCGATTCGTGCAGCCGATAGTATTCACGATGGACTTTGATATCGTGTCCGAGATGTCGAGCAAGCCATTCCACTTCCGTTTCCTTCAGCGAGAATACTTGCGAGATTGTCGCGATGTATTTTCTTAGCTGGGTACCCGTCACATCTTCAGGATTAGAGAGGGGTGGCACGCACTCTTTTGTAAATCTCTTTAAACAGTCACAAGCCCGGATATGCTTCAAGGACTGTTTTGTTGGCCTTGCAAACACGAATGGATTTTTGTCCGGGATCCCAACGTTTTTCCTAGTGCCGATTAGTAGATCAATGCTTTCTTTAATGTCTTTTGTTAAGATGATTGGCACCTTATTTCCTCGTTTTCCTCTGATTTCCACCATGTCGAGTCTGTTAAAAATATTAAATCTCCAATAAGGCATAAGCTATAGATGAAGTAAATTGGTCACCATCCAAATAAGAAGACCAAGAAAACACATGATGTTACATATCAAAATATTCTTTACTGTAATGGTTTCACATAAAATACTAACATCTTCCTGAACGATAGCTCGGCAGCATTAAGGTAAGGTAATCTAAATTTGAATTCCGTATGTGTTTTAAATATTCATAATCATTCACTAATTCAGATCATTTTGTTTTTCACAGCATTCATCCTGGTTGGCTCAAAGAACGGAAAATGTTCAATAAATAAATTCGATTAATATTTTGGTAATGACGATACGAACAATATTTTCGTCATATCTATGTCATAGAATGTCATAGCTATGTATATCCACATATAGTAAGTATATCCATATCCAGAAGTAGAAATCAAAGATTTTCTTCATCTGAAATTGCCGACGTGTGATTATTACGTGTAGTTTTTTATCTGTTCTATCTGTAATTATAATCATAAATTATGTAGCTGGTACTCACCGTTTTGAAAGTTCTCGTTCAAACTTGTCTAGAGACTTCATTATCTCTGTGCTGTTGGCCTTCCTCCAGTCTGGTCTTTTTTTGTATGTTTCGACACGAAGCTCCGAAGCCTCCCCTCCTCTGCGCTTGTTAAACATGACCAATCTGGTTAAACTGGATTGGGCCAACAGCTTCCAATCGTGCAAATTGGGATGTCTTTTTAGAGACTTCATTGACTTGCAAATTTTAAGGTCAATGTATTTTCTCAGTTTATCAAGGTCCTCGGCAAGAGGTAATACATTGACCTTATTAAATTTACGCTTGTGGAGAGTAGTCAGCGAATGGTGGGAGATGCGATGCGACCATTCGGTCTCCAAAAGACGTAGGAATTTCTGGGCAGATCTTTCTGTTGCTTCGTCCTCAACGCGTAACGCTTGACCAATGACGATGTTAACACACCTCTTCAACGCATAACCGATTTTTAATGCGAGGGATGGTGTGCCTACACTCTGTTGTCCATCCGTAACTTCAAAGGCGCAAAGCGTCTTTACGGCACTCACCACCCTGTCAAACATACTTGGCCTGATGAAGTTGGACAGTGACGCGTTGGGATCTGGACCAGTTGTTCGCAACTGCTGGAGTAGGCGGGATAGTTCCCTCATTGTCTGCGACGTGTCCTGCGCTTTATATGACCCATGTTTTTCGACGAGCATCTTCCCAACTCCCATTATCAAAGAGTCGTTTCTGGCAATCAGCGTGACCTCATCGTTCCTCATTGTTGCCAAAACACTGTTGAGCATATTACTATTGTTCTTGTGTAATGCTCCGAAAAGCATTAATTTGGAAGTCACTTGAACTTGCTTCTGGATTTCCGTCGACTGGTCATCATTTGGTTTCATCACACAAGCAGCTGTGTGTTTCCATAATTCCTGTCGTCTGTAGAATCCACGACAATATGGACATGGAAGGAACTCGTTAGGAGAGTGAACGTGACCAGAAAAATTAGGTTTCCTCGCGACAATTAGCTCACCTTGGCCAATATCCATCACCGTCATGTTATGGTGATAGTTGCCTTGAGATCGCAACTTGTGCCACATCGCTTTCCTCTCGGTTGATCCGCTCGGAAACCTAAGTGCCGCGACGACGTGTTTTTCCTTCGGATGATTTCTGGTCATATGGCGTGGCAGCTTTGTGGTTAATTCGCCGCAGTAGCAACATGCCTGCTTTTTTCGACCTCTGGCCTGGTCTACTGCAACTATTATGGGAGAAAAAAGGAAAACATATGTAAAAATTTTAGTTGTTGATCATAACCAAGGTATGATACTGGAATGTACAAATATGCACAGCCATGCAACTTTCGTAGCAATATGTAACCGCAAGAAAACGTTTAAGTTTTGTTCCTGTTTTGTTCATGAAATTACATACTTGCAATTGTATATAAATACAATGAAACCAAATATTAATTTTTGAATCATTGTATTTTTGAAAATTTATATTAGCCATTTATTTGACATTGTTTTGACAGTTGCTAAAGATAGTGCAACTGTGCCAGCCCCGGTCAGTGAGTGTTTATATGCAGAAATTTTCATCCCGGTATAGCGAGATCTCGTCTCTTTCAAGCGAGATCTCAGGAACCGGGCCAGTCCGGTCGTCCATATAAATGGGACATATACCTTGCGTTTGTTTTCCTTTCGTTTCTTTAGATTTATTGCCTTCCAAAGTAGTACCTTGATTCCTTGGAACTTTAATAATGAAAAAAAAGAATCTATTGAAGAACGAAGCTTATAGTCTACTAGCTTTTCAGAGGATCGACCGGGAATTGTGCAGAGCACCCAGGTAATTTGATATCCATAGTACTACTACGAGGCCCCGTTGTCTATGAGCGAATAGTCAACGAGGCGATGGGTGTATAAAAAAGGAATCCTCGATTCGAGTGTAAAATATTTATGTTTACATTATTTAGTTTTTTTCTAAAGGTGGCTTGCCTTTTAAATTTGAACGATTGGTTCGCGAATATGATTTCGAATAACTGAGATTAGAGGATTACTGATGTTAGGATGCAATAACAAATCGATACTTAACAAAGAAATCAAGTTAATATTGAATTATGTCAAAAAAACGAAATCAATTGGCAATGCCTCATCAAAACCAAGTACCTACGCCCTTTTATGCAATAACTTTAATTCATTTACTTGTTATGCCATTATTACTTGCACTTAAGACACAAATGACTCATTGATCTAACTGAGAGAAAAAGGAAAGCTTTAAGAAAAAACTAAAATGATTTTACAAGATCAAGGATAGAAGGACTCGCTTTCTGAAATTATATTAAGCATAAAAGATGGGTTCCTCGTTTTTATACACCCTGTACAATTATTGTTACAGCCTAACCACTCCAGTGTTTCGCTTTAACGTTCGGATGTTAAGGTTGTAATGCTGTAGCTTCTTTAAACTAGCGGACATGTATTGTTTTTGCCTGTCCAAGTAACTTTGTCAGCTTGAGCATGACCAGTTGAATTTGTTTTCTGCGCGTTTTGCTGGAAGTGAAGTATTAGCCTTTTCCAAAAAGATATCACAGTGCATTCTGGGATTGTTTGGAGGGACTAGAATATGGTGACAGGCGTCAAATATGTGAAAGAGTAGAAGTATCTACCGGTACTATCAAAATAATCAAATATCAACTTTTGCGCGACCAAAAATGAACTATCACTTTTTACATTAAACATTTAATTTAAATGTGTGCTGCCATATTTCTTGTCTTTCCAAAGAAGAGATTCGCGCGACCCAGGACTTTGGGAATTGGATAATTGTCATGTCTGTTGATATATAGAGATACGTTTCTTTCTTTTTTCCTCACGCATGTGGGATACTGGTGAACGAGTTTTTTGAGGGGTAGTGGGTAGATTTTCCGTGATACCTTTGGTTTTATATTCGCGAACAATTCCAAGACGATTTTCGTGCCCAATAATCAATATATATATTTTTCGGAACAGTCTCGGGAGGGAAATTGCATGTAAATGGCGTTACGTCTCCCAGTTGTAGGTGCTTTATCTTTGTGGTTGATTTAGATCCGAGTTTGCTGCTTTGTGTGCAACGTCAATGTCAACGTCAATTTCTGATGTACTGTATATGTAATTATTTCTTGATTATGTTAATGTAACGTAATGATAATGTAATTATTTCTCTTTCTTGATTTTGTTTTTCAGTTATACAAAATTAACATGTTATAAAATTCGTGCGTTTCAGTACGTCTAAAATAACACAATATAAAACACTTTTCAAATGGATTCACTGTACACCGTGCGAGGTTCTGACACCGCTCACCGAACATCAAAACATGTTGACACGACGTACCAACAGACACGAAACGCATGCAATACAAACGCATGCAATTTTAAAGAAACGCATGCAATACAACGGTAACAACCAAATTTTAGAAAACGTTGACATTTTTATACTCGACAGTCTAATACTTATAACTAAAACGCTCACACAATAATGCTAGCTCGCCAATAACGCTTAACTCCCTATATCATTTCTTTCACCACTTCCACAACACAACCCCCGCCATCCAATCAAAACAACTAATATGCATTCTCGTCCCACTACAACCAATCAGATACAACCAATCAGATGGAAACTATCGACAACTTATTTATAAATTTGGAAATGTTTTATATACCGAAATCTTGTCTGGATCAATAGTAGTTATATTTTCTGACGTTTAAAAACGTCCCACTGCAACCAATCAGATAGAGACTACTCAAAACGCCAAACCAATCAGACGCTCCCACATATTACAATTAACTACGTAAAAGGCAGCGCGAACATTCGAATTAACACTAGCGGGGCCGGTTGTCCAAAAGCTTAATCGTACAATCCTGGATTAAAAATCTGCGACGCTTCCAATTATTTGACCAAATTTAGTAATATTATCGCAAATTTAGAACGCATGGTTAGCGCTAATTGTGAGTTGAACAACCGTCCCTGATCTTGAGTTACCGAGTTGAAAGCTCTAGATTAAATATAAACGATCCATAGAACATTGAGATATACTCTGATCGTTCGTAAACGAAAACACATTTAACGGTATAAACAGCAAAAATTAATTGAACTACCTTTATCCGGGATATCAGCCAGTTCTTCCATATCTAGCTGACTGCACTGTGCTTTTTCTACAAATGTTAATTAACATAATAACTGTTAAGTGCATACATAATATATCTGACCCTATACTAGATATGACTTTTATATAATGACCTAACACGTCAGTAATAGGGGAGTCAGAAAGGATGAAAAAGTGGTCAAAGTTAACTATACTATAGTTAGTGGGAGCGTTAAATGGTATAGTGAACTCTAAAAAACGCGATTCTGATTGGTTAACTACAAAACGGGTAGTCAAAATGTAGTTAAGCATAAAACAATTAAGTTTTATTGGAACCATTCACAATGCATTACATTTAATATAGTGTTTCACCTTCATTTTGGCGCTTTTTCTCCAATGTTTCTGGTGGAATATATTCTTCCTTTAAATTGAATATGACAATTAATAAACCCATTAACAATGAAATCGCGACACTGTCTGGCGTTACACAGAATAAAATAACAAAGTAGTGCATTTGAGTTCATTATGGCTTAAAGTGGTAACGTGCATGATACATAGGACATGCGGAGATAGTTAATTGTCCATGGTAACCCATTATATGTGACAGCACTCAGTCCACATTGACAAGTAAAATCGTCTGGCGTTAGAGTAAAATAACAAATTAAGTAGCATTGCTGTGTGGTGTGTAAAAATCCATGCCAGCGCTTCTCCTGGAATTAGGCAACGTAAAAAGGATAAACTATATATAGTTAAACATTTCGTAATTTTAGTTCAATTTGACCAACAATTTTAAAGACCAACAATGTTAAAGTTCTATGATCGTTTGTTTAGTGGATAGCTTACCTCACTCTCACATGAACTTTTTCCGTCTTCACTATCAGAATAAACGTCATCAACTGTTAATTTTCTATCCTACAGCAATGAACGTTTAGGGTGTAAATGTCAAAACTGAAGAAAACAGGTTTGATTAAACAACAGTAACAATTCTGTTGAGTGCAACTCTTTAATTTAATTAACTGTACCCAATCAGAATTTATGCGCCCATGCACATTTGTGCAATATTTACTGTTTTAAACGTGTGATACATGCATGTGAGCATATTTTAATATTATGGTTTCTTAATCCCATGTGGCCCACGGTCAAAACAATGCAGGTGAAACTCAATCTCTCTTAATTTCGATCCAATTATCTTTATATAGAGACCTAAATTAATATTAATAATAAATAGAAACGTTTTAGTCACCGGTAGCATTTGGTTTTGTTTATTACTTACGTATTGGTATATTTTCCTGTTCTTTCTAGGTGTTCTTTTTACCGATAGAATTTCTTTACCTATTTAATTAAACACCATTTTTCAAAATTTTACGTTTCTTATATGGTTGGTGTGTATTGTAGCTTGCATTGTAAGAAATAATTTCAGTCTATTTTGTATGAAGCTATACAAAATTTGTATTATCAACAAAGGATTGCGTATAATAAGACAAAACAGCAGGAAAAATACATTTTAAAATAATTTATTTTTGGCAAATTTGATGCTAACATTCCAATTTGATGCGTGCATTGATTCTGTTTATGAAATAATTTTACAAGCTTTTTGTGCAAGAACAACATCGATTAGAGTTAACCAGAGAGTATATTCCCAAGCATCATTTTTCTTGACCGAATAACGTACAATGTTGCCCACACTTAAAGTGCCTATGTCATATAGTTTGGGAATTAGCCTATTTAGATAGTTTAGATGATTTTAAGAACCTTTGCAATATATTTTATAATTCGAAAATTTGATCTTCATGTACTTTCAGGGGCTCAAAGTGGGCGATTTTTGCTTAACCGTGAGTATAAAAGGACTAGGGCGAGAGTGCCCGTAAACGCCGGATGTGACGTCAAACCGGGAACTGATCAAAACAAAATACATATGATTTAACTATGGTTTCTTGATAAAATCGAGTATAAATTAGATGTTTCTGGAAATTTCTTTGATATTTCAATTGAAATTTAAATAGAACTATATCCTTAACCTTCAGTTATCCAACTGACAGGCAGATTGGGCGCATTGATCGGATTGGCAGATTGGGCGTATTGATCATGGACGAGACATTTTATTCACAATAATTTCCGCCAATCTGGCCTCGGTATTGGCAAACCGAATATATTCTACTGGATTAGGTATCAACAACAGCCAACAATTCTTTGCCGTTTTGTCCCAATATTTCTGTATATATAAAATCGAGAATCCAAGATAGAATATAGCATCAGCGTATATGGTTTGACCTGCACTCTCAGCCATAAAATTAGTATCTCGCCCCATTTGCTTATCAGTTGGATAACCGAAGGTTAAGAATATAGTTCCATTCACATTTCAATCAAAATATCGAAGAAATTTCCAGAAACATACAATTTATACTCGATTTTGTCAAGAAACTTTTATGCTGGCGGCCAAACGCTCAAAATAGGCAAAATCGCCCACTTTGAGCCACTGAAAGTACACGAAAATCAAATTTTCGAATTATAAAATATATTGCAAAAGTTCTTAAAATCACCTAAACTATCTAAATAGGCTAATTCCCAAACTATGACAATTTTAAAAACATCTATATTACATTACCAGAATTGTTTTGTGCAAACTCTCACCGAACATCAAAACGCTATCAACAGACACGACGATACTTCACTTTCAGGAAACATGCAGACGACAACGGACATAATTCATAAATTCAACTGGTCACAAACAAAGTGATTTGAACAAGCTACGACAAAACATGCTAGTTTAAAGAAACGCATGCAATACAGCGGTAACAACCAAATTTTAAAAAACGTTGACATTTTTATTCTCGACAGTCTAATACTTAAATTAAACTTAAATTACAACTTAAATTAAACCCAGGATTTGTTTCAAATGGGAGTAGGTAAAATATTTTTCCTGTGTACCTTTTGTATGGGTGTGTACAGGTTACAATCTTGTAATTGTATTCGTTTTTATCAAAACAGTTGTTAACCGCGTTTTTGTCAAGTCCTTTGCATATAAACTGTAGGTTCATGCAGGTACTGAAGTATTCAGTTGCTTTACAATTGAATTATCTGGAAACATTCTTTCCTAAACATTTTTAACGACATGCAGGGATGGTTAATCTGGGTTCAACAAGTCAGAGAAAACACGTTTATTCATATGTGAAATACATTTCATTTGACAATTGGTCATGCAGGGATGATTAATCTGAGTTGAACAAGTCGTTGAAAACACATTTATTCAAAGGAGGAAAATAGATTATAATTCTAGCTTTACATCATTAGGGTGCAACTATATGACAATCGTGCTCAAAAAGCTTTTGTGCAGGGTGATTTTGTGCGCGTGTATAAACAGGTTAGAAGGTATATATGAGTTAATAATTCCGCATGCAGACCCCTAATTGTCTGTACATGCAACTTTAAAAGACTTAAATTTGTTTATATTCTATAGAACTTCACCTCGCTTTTTAGCTTTTTTCTTTGGTTTTCCTTTAGGCATCATGACATACTCCTCATCCTTGATGTAAATTGAATATTGCAATTAATTAAAGAGAATAATTTAAATCATGATTTGGAAATCATCTATGTAACCCAAGGAGGCGATGCGATCTCCTGTGAAATATATATATATATATATATATATATATATATATATATATATATATATATATATATATATATATATATATATATATATATATATATA